CTAACCACGTAGTTTTTAAAATTCAATGACATGATGGAAACTTTCGGTAAAGTTCAGTGACTATTGGGGTAATTAACCCTAATAAAGAATTCTATAAGGTGAAACATCTTTGTATTGAAATTTGAACATATAATGCAGAAATTAATAAGGTTATACATTCTTTGATTTATACTTAGTTTGATATCGTCCATGTTTTCAAAAAAATGTAGGCAGGAAAATATACATATATTTTTTTAACTATTCAATGGCGCGTCGTCACGTGGTATAATGTAAATAATGATGTAAAATATGATATAGATGCTGAAATTATTCAAATTGGGTCAAAATGGCTGCCATTTGACTAGTAGGGACTGTGATTAAAAATGGGCTGGAATTTTTGTAGCACACGATTAAGACATTGATGTTTAAGGGCTATTTAATTAATCTATCTTTGTATTGAAAATGGACGGTGGAAAATGGCGGAGAAGCTTGGGGGACACGTAACCACCCCCCGAAAGAGAATTGACATTTCTCTTCCTCCAGATGTTACAATTATCTTCATTTCCTTCATTATTATCCATAAAAATTAAAAATAAATAAAAAAGAATATGAGAGTGGGTGTCTAAATTATTCTTAAACAAGTGGACTAGAGAGCCGTGAAGAATCAGGAAATGCTGTGTGACTTTGCTTTCTTTCATCACTTCTTCTCTTTTCTTTTTGCTCCTCCGTCCACGTAATGCTCATTAACAATAAAAATACATAAACGAACGCAATCAACTAAATTTATATAATTTTAGACTGCAGATGATGAATTATTTGATAAAAAATTGCGATTAGGGTTTTCGTCGATGTTCAAAACTTGGCTGTGACCACGTTAATTTTAGAGCGATTTTATGTATACGATCAGTTAAAATGCTATAGTTTTTTGTTCGCAACTTCGTAAATGGATCGAGTCAAAAACGGACACGGATATCAAAGCACAAAATCAAAAAAAAATTCATTGAGAATGATGTTTACTATCTTTATTTTTAATAGAATAACAAATCAAAATAAAGAAAACAAATTCCTTCCTCTCGTGTTTACCCATCCGACGTTAAACACGACAATCACATACAGAAAATGACAATATACCTTTATTGATAATAGTCTAGAATATTGAAGTATGTTACTATTACAAATTATTGAAGGATGCATTTTAAATGTACCTATAGTAACATAGGTAGTGTGTTAAAAAGAATCATCGATCAATTTTGAGTACCTTTATTTAGATTTTTCGATTTTTTTTATTTTTTTATTTCAACATCTCTCCCAAACGATACTCAAATTCATATTACCGATCAAGTAAAGATTCGCTCTTATCACTTAAACTAGGTAGTGATCTCATGTATGATTTCAATATTGAATAGATATAAAGATTACAAAAAACCACTAAGGCTATGTTTGATAATGAAACTTTTCCACGGAACTTGGAATTTAAATTCCATTTCCCACCAGTTGGTTTGTTTGATAGCCGTAATTTTCTTGACAATTACTTTTCCACTTTATCCCCACATGTGCACATTTTCTACCTTTTTGATGAATTTGGTTTCCCACCATTTTGGTGGGAAATAGAATTTTAGCTTTTGTTTTTTTTTTCAGCAATTGGAACAAATTTTATAACAAATTGTAAAAAAAAAAAAAATTATTTTAATGAACAATTTTCATGTAAAATAAAATCAAACGTGAACAAAAAGATCCAAAATTTTAAAAATTTTCCGGGTGGAAAATTATACNTTTTTTTTTTCAGCAATTGGAACAAATTTTATAACAAATTGTAAAAAAAAAAAAAAAAAAAAATTAATGGACAAGTTCCATGTAAAATAAAGTCAAACGAACACTAAACTTTGATTAAAAAATGATTTTCTTAGAAATATTTTTATTTTGTTTTTTATTTTTTGGTAATAGAAACAAATTTTATAACCAATTGTGGAAAAAATATCACTTTAATGGATAATTTTCATATAAAACAAAACCAAAAGAACACAAAAATATCCAAAATTTTAAAATTTTTTGGGTGAAAAATTATACAAATCAAACACACCTAATTAACAATTATTTGGAAAACAAGTTTTAGGCAATTATTTTCTCTGGAATTCATTTTCTTTCCACTTATTTTCTACCATTCCAATCAAACGAACCCTAATAAAAAATCAAATCCGGCTAAAACAAAGCAAGGACATGTTTCCATTTATGATCCTTGAACGTTTTCAAAAAAGAGAGTTTTGAATAGTATTTTCGGAGAATATGCGTTAAAAAGTAGGAAAAAAATTTCGAATTTACGTACAAAATATTTTATGGCATAAATGTGATTATAATGATCCTTTAAGAAAAAAATGAGAAAGAATAGAAATCAAACAGGCTTTATATGACAAATGGTAGTCCGATGAAACACCCAGCGCACACATTTGTGATGTGGTTTTCCAGGCAGAGTTCGAATTATTTTACAATAGAATACAATTTCGAGTGTTTGTCTAAACGGTTGCCACGATAACTTGAGACCCTATTTGCTTTTGACACGTTCGTACTTTCTATTCTTAGTCCACCTATGTGTCTCGTGGACCATGCCTCATCTCATAGATAATAAAATATTAGATTCAACTNAATCTTCAACCTATCCGACATTAAACACGACAATCACATACAGAAAATGACAATATACCTTTATTGATAATAGTCTAGCATATTGAAGTATGTTACTATTACAACTTATTGAAGGATGCATTTTAAATGTACCTATAGTAACATAGGTAGTGTGTTAAAAAGAAAAAATGACCGACTATTCATCTATCAATTTTGAGTACCTTTATTTAGATTTTTCGATTTTTTTTTTTTTTAATTTCATCATCTCTTCCAAACGATACTCAAATTCATATTACCTTATGATGTATAATTAGGCCCGACCTCGAGCACTGGGCCCGACCCTGGACCCCCACGACTGGGCCAAAAGGTGAAGTGGTCAAGCTCGAGCTCGAGGCTCGAGGCACGTCGCTCGCACAACCCCTTACCCCCCGAAACCCTAATTATTTACAAACCCCTAATTCATTACAACTTTCACCATATCTCGAACTCTACAATCCTAACGCAACTCAAATACCTAAAGCAGTTCAAACTGTAGGAAGTTCAATCCTACTAGAACTCCTCCACATAGGAAGTTCAATCATTCTAGGACCCCTCCACCAGCATCTATAAATATGCAACCCAACTCCGTCATGAAGGTACGTTTTTTTTATTCAGTCATTTAACACAAAATTTCTCTCAAGAAGTTTATCTGACTTAACCATCGGAGGGATAACGAGGACACACCTTGCCGCCTTTGTTTCAGGTATTGAAGACCAGACTGCGTGGAATTCTCTCGTCTAGCTTGAATTCATCCGGTACGAATTTTGGTAGCATCATTACCGATCAAGTAAAGATTCGCTCTTATCACTTAAACTAGGTAGTGATCTCATGTATGATTTCAATATTGAATAGATATAAAGATTACAAAAAACCACTAAGGCTATGTTTGATAATGAAACTTTTCCA